ATAATAAAATGGTACCAAAAAAGGTACTAAATATTTCTTAATTTAAAAAGGCTAAAGTATTTAACATTGTGCGAAGTCGATTTTTTGTGCGATAAAACAAAATCGGCATCGGTAATCAATAAAACAGTCTAAAGCCTCTTTTTAGCCTCATAATTAACTTAGCAATGTTAAACAAGATTTGGGGAAGTAAAGGAAATAAAATTGCAATCTTTAAACCCATTAGTAAACAAGCCTTCAAAAAGTAAAAACCTTGTTAGATTAAACCTCCCATTTATTTTTTAAAACTTGCAATTTTATTATAACATGTTCTTAAAAAATCTACATTTTGACATATTTTTTCTACTTATTGATCGGCAGTTTATTTTACTTTACCCGTAATTTTTAGTATCAACAATTACGACGACGTTGCCCTTGTGACGACGAGTCCCTCTACTACTGACGCCTAATACACTTATAAGAGATCGGGACATTACTTTAGACAAATAATGTTGCCTTGGCAATCGAGACCGCGTTGTTTTTTGTTATAATAAGTTAAAGATGTCACTCGCAATAATTAATGTGTTTACAGATCAAATTGGAATTATTTTGAAATGAAGAAAATGTCCTGTCCTGTGTTTCTTCATTTTGAAACTATTCCTTAAACACACTACATTGTAAAACGTTTAAAATGTTTCATCGTTCTCTGAACTTCGGGTAGAAATTTGGCGACCATCAATTCGGGGCGCACAATAAAATGATATATTTTCAAAAAACATCTTGACATGTGCTTACTAAACGATGTAATGCCCCGATGTGTTAAAGCCACCTCCGTCTTCCGTGAGCCCACGGAATACGAACGTCGGCCACTTGTGTAAAACTATGTCAAAACGTCGATATCATGCTGCGAATTACTAAGCTGTGTTAAAGATGCTGTTGAAATGCTCCACATATATAATTTATTATAAATTTTGCTTCAAAATTCACAGTATGACATCGTAGTTGTCTATCTTCTCAAACCCTTAACGGGGTCGATGTAGATATAATAACTTCATAATAGTTCTTTATTACAAATAGATACACCTATTTACACATGACTGAAATGTCTCATACACTCTGTGCATCTAAACAATTGTCCTATACCTATCAAATATAACAATTATTTTAATTTTTTTATCGTAAATTGAGTATATGAAATGATCATGTTAAATAAGAAACGTTTAAGTCTCTGACGGATTAATTCTGGAATTAATATCGATCTGTAGTAGTAATGCTATTTTTTTTATAATAATGTTCAACCTAGTTAGTAAGTACATATCACATATCTATCATCTAATCTAGATATAGATACGTATTTAAATCATTACTTTTATGTAGTGATTTCAAAATATTATTTCGCTTAAATATTGATCTTAAAATTACCACAAATATATTTTTTATCTGGAATTGACGAATACATCGATATCAGAATGATATAAAAAATAATAATGACCTGACTGTTAACGTATAGATTTCAGTTTTGAGCTGTTTTGATTCATTGTCTGGTTACATTAATAATCGACTTCTAGGCGTTGGTTTTTCAGACCACATGTGTCTCGTGGCCAAGGACCAATCCGTATTAGTCAAGCTTAAGCAAACTGTATCGAATCTGTATAATTGTATTGATCAAACATCTTAAGCGGTTAGTAGTAAAAGCGGACGAAGGTTTGCTTAATTCACGTACGTCACATTCTGAACATCGGTTGTTCTGAAATTTGATTTCCTTAAATTAATACTTTACTCATGAAAGAATAAAAATTGAACAACATTTGACGTTGTACTAGTCACTCTTTTATTCATTGTGCTTGGAATACAAATACAACTATTCCATTAGCAAAGTTGTAGGTAAATCACAAAACAAATAAACTCATTGTTAGAATGAAGAACTCGGGCATTTAAGCAAATTCATATGGCATGTCTTCGGAGAAAACGGATGTTGATTTCATCTTTTTTTCTTATAAGCGTCATTGTTTCTTTTAGATACTAGTATATAAGGCGAATAATGAAATTATCCAATTTAATTTCAATTTACTATTGACCTATTTTTAATAACACTTAAGACTGTGGTTTATAATTTTTGTTTGTTATTCACAATAAAATAATCACCATACAAGGTCCCCCGTTGGATATAGGCCTTCCTCAATAACTTCCAAACCGAAAAAAGACACGCGCGGACGAGTATAAAAAGTTGCTCGCATTTGGTGGGTCTAAGAAACCAACGCATATTCGTTTGAATTTGAGTGGCTTATAAAATCTTGTTTTGCGGTTAAATGCAAAATAATCATCACACCATGAACTCATTACCAAAAAAATACAGTACTAGCTTGCTAATGCCAACAGCCACAATATTTACAGCGCACGCAGCATTCGTAGAGCGAGTATTTCCAAAAGTATCTAAATTAATATTTTTGAAGCTGAGGATGCAATAAAACTGATAATACATACGAGCGTAAGCATCGTACCTACATAAGCATATCGACACTCCCTTATATATAATATCTATTATGTAGTTCATGAAAGTACGGAGGCACCTCGATGCTTTTATAATTTGTTCATGGAACAGTAAGTACGTACGCTCAATGTATGATTTTCTCAACTAAGGTATCAATGGATTTCAATTACGTATCAATTAGAAATATCAAGATATCATATATCCTAACTTGAAAAATGATATTAAAAATGAAATAATGAATCTATATTATACAAAAGACCAAAATAGACCAGTACTTAAAATAAATGAATTCACTTGCATGTATGACTGCACGAACTGCACGGATGGCGTAGTGGTTTAAGCGGTCGTCATGACGCTTCCCCACATGGGACTACACTTCGTGTGATCCACAAATTATTATTCTGAGTCTGGGTGATCTTGTTCGTTTTATGTATGTTTGTTAAGGTCCCCGCGTCACAGAATATATTCCTAATGTAGGAGTTCTCTTTAAAAAAAGATAAGAAACAAGTAAAGAAAAGCATGTGTCATATATTACTTGAATCTACGCATTAGTTACCCACATTTCAAACTTGAGAGGTCTTGTTATTTTCTATTTAAATGACTCATTCCGTAAACTTTTAATTTCAAACAAATTACTTACGAAATATAATTTATTTAATTATTATACCAAGGTAAGTTTTACGCAGATGTCAAACCTTTAGGCCTCTCTAATGTTTTGACGAATCTTTAGGTCAGATTAAGTTTTGTGCATTAAGAAATTCCGTTTTTTTTAAATTACTTTTCGGTTTAGCTATCTTTTAATAATTCATGAAAGGAAACTTTTTCCTTATTTTAACATTCAATACCAAGAAGGATCTCAAGCTTCTATTATATCTAGGCTCATGATTCCCTCTAGGCCATACCTACAATTTTCGCCTGATTTGGTAAGGCAATCGAGTTATTCGAATGCGGCTATCAACACAATTGAGTTATTCGTGTTACAAACCAGCTTTTCGAATACCATATTTATTTTTCAGAAAGATAATATTTTAAGCCTTGTTTTATATCAATAACCCCAACTAAATATAACTACCTACACCTACAAAGGGACCTACATATCAAAACGGTTGTACTTTGGGTTATATTCCTGTAGACACTATTATATAGATGCTATATTGGAAATTAAGTGCAACCACTTAATATAGTAACTATATCATAACTATTACATTAAAAGTACCTACCGATGTATAATCCCAGAGTACTAACCATCTCAATGGCACGAACGCATCGAACAAAAGGAAAAACACGTTTTATAAATTTTAGTTGCAGGAGTAAATTGGTTATAATATTTATGGCCTTTAAAGCTAATGGTATTTTTAATAACTAAGTAAGTCCATTCGAATTTTTTTGTTGTAAGTGCATAATTAATGTGCAATAAATAACACATAATACGCAGTAAGGAATTATTAAAATAAATCGATAAATTAAATATTGATGTTGAATAATATTATTAACTAGTATAACATTCAAGTTCGCTTGAATAAAATTAATTATTATTAAGCAAAGAGGGTGTGATAGTACATTTTAAGCCTACCCCTTAAACCAACCTTTATCCTTACCTAGAGTTCTGATATCACCCAACTCCATTAACAAATCATCGGTTATATAATCGTGTAACTGAACAAATAGATAAGATTTTTAATTTGTGACAATATAATTAATAAATACTGACACGCTATGGTAGCAAAAGGTTTAGCCGGGTTGGTATTACGAATCGGCCTGTAAATGATAATCTATATCGAAACTGATGTATTTCCGATTTATGCGTTTAAGTTTCTAGCCGCCGCACTAAAGAAAATATTTTTTAATTACTTTTAGAGAGATTACAATTAATTGAACTAGAAAGAAAATTAACTGAAGGTTAGTTACATTCAAAGACACACTATTTTTCCGTTGTAACTTCCAACAACTAAAAATATATGTTGCAGTACTTGATATGGTCTGTTACTCATAAAAGTACGATAGTAATGAATTTTTAATGTAAGTTACGGCGGATTCGTTATGTAAATTCGGCTAGGCCCTTTGTCTTGTACTTAAGTTCGTCTGCTTTCTTTCAAAGTTCAACAATTTATAGAGACATCTGATACCGTTCTACCTTTTAGATTAGAATGATCGTATCGTTTCCGGTATTGGCTCTGAGCGTTCATACCGTTGCAGCGTTGTAACGAATAGGTGGTTAGGTGTTATTATGACAGTATTATAACCACAGTAAAATGTGTTTTAACTGGGCTAAAACCTTGCAAGGTTAAGAAGTAAGCCTTAATCATCTATGTCATTATTCCTTGCCAAAATGTTGTCTGTTGCTAAATTGTGTATTATTGAAACATTAATTATTGGCTATGCACAAGAAGTTTTATTTACATAGGCTAACCACTAATAAATTTTAATTACATAAAAGTATTTTTGGATTTTTTTACGTTTTGAATTAGCGTGTAAGAAAAACCTGTTATGCATAAAACCTCTGTATTTCACATTCTCATCCCATGTTGTTTGTTTAAGCGTATGAGTGTAAAGTTACGGGTTCGAAGTCGTCGTGTGTAGCTGGCCTTGAGGGCGGTTGTCGGTGTGGCGGCGGAGGCGGTGGTGGTAGCAGACTTGTGCCTTCAGGTATGTAAACGTTGGTGACACGTTCCTGTTAAAAAAAATACCGTGAAAGATGGGGCTAAAGGAGAAATATAATTTAGAAGAATTTGAAGCACAGACCGTAAACCAAGTGAACCTGTAATTATAATATTCTTAAAATTAACTATTAATCGATGTATATATTTTCTTCAAAATAATTATATAAATGAACATAGTCAACATGACATAAATTAAAAGAAATTAATAGCGTTCTAGTAAACAATAAACGAGAATGTTTGAAAGAAATATTAAAGTTAAAGTATTTTTCTTCAACTATAATACAATCTCAGAATATACAATCATATAACGACATATTCATTGTGGGAATTCACAGGGTTTGAGATGTACAATGGCGATTTCATAGACCGGTTTTCCATAGGAATATGTGTATTATGCAGATTGCTGAGAGCCTAGTGCATGTTTTATTGGTTTATTTCACACCAGCTCGCTCTCGACTGCAAGTGCGTTTAGCGTTGCGATTAGTAACGATTTCGGTGTGGGCCAATCGCAGCGCTGAACGCGGTCACCGTGACGATAGAATGGATGTGAATAAATTCGCACTTGGACCTCTGATTATGCTTTATGCGTGTCCGCACTAGGCAAATTTCAGTAAATGGGAGTTAAGGGAATATGCCAGTAGTGGCCAAATATTTGTAAACCATGAGATTATTGTGTACTTATAGGTCAACAAAGAAGTAGCATTTGGATAAAGTTATTAACAGTCATTTCTATAGGAGTATAAATTAAAGGGCATGTTACTTCCTATGTTAATAGCAAGAAAGTTAAGTCGGTATTTACCTGATTTTTGTCGTATTTGAAAATGCCCTGGAAACGATTTGTTCGACGTTCTATTGGCTCTGCGCTCGGCCCACCTGCGCCCGTAGTGCAACTGTAGTTCGGGTTATGGAAGGAAATATGGCCTCCAGAATCGCGATAATTTTCCTTCAGATCACCGCCACGATCTCTATGTAGTTTTACTAGAGTAAAATAAGAAAGTACATTCAAATATTGCAATCGAAAAACGCCTTTCTAATTAGATGATGTACTTACTTCTTTTTCACAAAAGCTTGAATAATTGGTAAGTATCTAAACTTGACAAATAAACAATTTCGGCAAGCGTTTTAAAAATGCTTGTAAACTTTTAGTTAGCAGTCTTGTTTTTTTTTATATGGCAGCATTTTTTAGATTGAGATCCGTATTTGTATCTTTTAACTACTGCTAAGGACTTTTTAATAAATAAGTAGCTAGCGTCGCCACGAATGAAAAAAGTTTCTTTGTAAGGCTATAATTACCTTAAACGGTCGCATCAACCTTAATTGGTAAGTAATCTCTATGCACCATCGATCGATCGATCGATCGTCAGGAGCCAGGAGTATGAGTAGGTAGTACCTACCAACTATTACTATTCTAAGTAGTTTTCAGTATTTATGGATTTATTAATGTAAAAATTACAATTCAGAACTATGTTTTGTTTCACAAACAGAAAATTATTAATTTCCTAATTATTGTATATGATCTTTGAAATTTTGACGACATTATGAGATCTGCATCTTCATGAAATTATGGAATAGTTTATAACTGCATGTACCACTTACCACACACAAGTACAATGATGAATATGCCGACTATTATAAAAGTGAGTATGGCTACAGTGATGATGATGGCTCCTGTACTCGTATCAGGCGCTTCAGGCTGTACTGGAGGTACTGGACTGTCCGTGTGTAGGTCGGTGTAGTCCTCAAATACTGGATAATGTGAAGGCATCTTGAGGTCAACAGAGTTCTTAGGAACTGCAAAATAAAAATAATAACGTCTACAGCCGAAACTTGCGACGGCGTTTGTGGTAAGTAAAAAACTCCAAACGCTATACATTGAAGTTTTTGTATCAAACAATAACAACATTATTGGATATAGCTGTGACATTTATAATACTGCCTAGTTCATTATTGAATGGCTAATTAAATGTAGCCATGTAAAGTAAAGACTACACGGATGGCGTAGTAGTTTAAGCGGTCGCCACGCCGCTTCCTATTGTTGTTCTGAGTCTGAGTGTTCTTTGTGCCCGTTTCATATATGTTTGTAAAGTCCCCCGCGACACGGGATATTCCTAATGCGGGAGTTGTCTTTATAAAAAAGAAAAAAAAAGAAAAGTATAAAGTGCTGTTTGGTGCTGGTGGTAGGTGTACATAAACCTTATACCAACCCGTCTGGCCCAAGTGGTATAGCAGGCCAAAACCTCCATTCTAAGGAGAGGCCTATGTCCAGCAGTGGACTATTAATGGTTTTTGATGTGATGAGATGATACACTTATATTAAACATTACCTGTCGAGCATGGACGATGATCTTGTACATCAGGGCAAGCGCAAATATAATCATGTAACTTATAGAAGCAAAGATGTGAGCAGCCGCCGTTATTTTCCCTGCAAGGATTCCATCCATGTTGCTTGTCGCCTGATACAGCTTTTATTTCCATTGTCATCTCTAAGTCTGTTCTTATTTCAGTTACATTCATTCCAGTCTTTTTATTAGCTCTCATAACAGCTTTCTTGTACCAGTCAGTCCAGTATATGTAGTCATTGAACTGAAAAGAATATCTCATTATAATGATTAAAGTAACAATGACGAACCATTTTGTTTAGGCTAATCGACACAAAGAATATAAAATTCGGTTTATCTACGTTATTCTGTATGAAGTTTGTTCTTGTTGTTTTGAGAAGAAAATGGAAATCTAAAATTGGTAGTTCAAGCAGCCAACGGGACCCATTAACTGCTTCAATATTCATCAATCGTTGAACCTTTCTTTCGAATCACAACACTGGATGCCTTGCATGCCAAATTATAAACAAAAAGGCAGTTACCTGTGTCATCCCAAACGGATTCTTAGCTTCTGGTATTAGCTGAACTCTGTGCTGGCCATTCAAGTCAGATGTGTCGATGCGATGTCTTAAAGCATCAGTCCAGTACAGTCGTCTCTCTTTGTAATCTATAGTGATTCCATTCGGAAAACCAACGTCTTGGATAACGATTATTTTCCTTTGGCTGCCGTCTAAGTATGCTCTTTCGATACATGGCGTTTGGCCCCAGTCGCTCCAATAAAGATACCTGATCACAACATATAAATTATGATTAATGATCTGATATAGGATGAATTGAGATTTATGATTGCGTATGGGAATAGTGATCTATTCCAATACGCAATCATACATCTTGATGAAAACGTATAAAAAATAAATTTTACAAGATTTTTGAAGAACACACTACTATATTTAACTTAATTATGTAATCTGACTAGTTCAGATGGATAATTTGCATTACTGAATCAACGGTAAAACTAAAAAGTATAGAGACCGCTATTAGGTAAGTTATGAAATAATTTATTTTTCCGCTTACCCTTTCGCTGGAAATAGTGCCAGAGCTCTGGGTTCACTTAAATTGCTCAGCAAGGTTTTTCTTGATGTACCGTCCAACCTAGCTACTTCGATGACCTGCATTTTTTTAAAAGTTAATTTGATTATTAAGTTGAAAAGGGCAATTATTATTGACAGGATGTAGTCACGACAATTTAAAGGGCTGTAATCAGATGGTTCGGGTATGTAAAAAGAATGAGTATGAAGCGGTAGAAAACACATGTATAATTTAATCGTCGGTTGACGGACGGGTGAGACTGGTGCTCACTTAGAACATACTTTGTTCTATTTATTGTTATTCTTAGGAAACGGTAGGTATGTTGAAATAGACGATATTAAGAAACTGAGAAACTCTTCATTTCTTTGAAGACGATTGAAAATAGTAATATAGAATTTGTTGAACATTCTGTGACATTACTCACCTTGTATTCGTTGTCAGTCCAATACATGTTGTTTGCGATCCAGTCTATACCTAAACCATTAGGAATACCCATATTCCCCTTGACAATGTCTTTCGTATCACTCATATTTAGCATATTTATAGATCTGTAATTAAAAATAAACACAATATTATCGCAACTTATAATTTTTAAAATATTATTTCATTATAGTATCTATAAAAGTTTCTTACCTTATGACATCCATATCAACATCTGTATAAAACAGAAGCTTTTGATCCCAGTGGAAATCAACGGCAACAGCATTCTGCACTTTTATTGGCAGTGGTACATCCCATTGCTCCGGAGTGTCAAATGAAATAAGTGCAATGCTAGTTTTAGTTGCAAAAAATAAGAAGTTCTCGGGATAACTTCGGCATATTTTTGGATTGAGTTCACTGGTGTTGAAAAGTAGACCAGTCGGGCAAGCGCATGAGAAACCTTGAGGAGCTCGAAGGCAGAGATGGGAGCAACCGCCATTGTCATCGCCACAAATGTTTTCTAATTCACGTTCAGTCTGTCGACAAAAATTCAAAGTATACACTGTCGGCGTTCTTCATTAATTATCATTGGTACCCAAATATAAAGAATAGTGTGCGTTACAACTTTTTATTTAGTATTTCTTTTATATTAATAATATCCATTCATAGACACATACCAGAACGGCGCGAATGTCCATAAGCCCTTCCAAATTTTGTCTAATAATGATAGAATTTTTTCCATTCATTTTATCAGCTCTGTGGAGGGCTTGAGTCCTCCAATCGGTCCAATATACGTGTTGGGCTACTATAACGATACCGTAAGGATACGGGACATTGCTTAAAATAGTGCGACGATCATTCCCGTTGAAGTCTGAACTTTCAATTGTTAGGATTTTAGCATCATTCCAGTAAAGGCGACTCTCCATTTTGTCAATAGCAAGACCGTTAGGCCATTTGACTTTGCTCTCTACAATTACACGCCTGAAAACAAATGTAAGAAAAAGTTAGCCTAGTAATGAAGACATTATATGTATCTGGGATTAGACGAGCAATAATAGTTATTAATTAGAGCTATATCTTAGATCAAACGGCATTTTAAATCAGCGGTTCATTTATTGTGCTACGTTACTATAACTTTTGCATAGTTTGTATCTTGAATTGAAATTATCTATCAAATTTCTAAGTTCGTTTTGGTCATCATGTTTAGTCTTATTCTTTACAGTTGTTTTTGTTGCTTTGCAGAGTTCAATAGAGACGTGGATATGATGCTCATTAGTTATGAAAAAATAATAACCCGTCAATTACCTGTTGCCTCCATCCATATCAGCTCGTTCGATCTTTGCCGATTTTCCCCAATCTGACCAAAACATTAGTCCGTATTCGTAATGTAAAGCTATAGCACGAGGTGAATCTACAAAGAAAACTTTTGTTAGTGTTCAGTTATATTTTTTTTTGAGAATTATTAAATCTCAAGGTTCTTAGGTTTTTGTTGTACCTTAATTTTATTTGAGGATAGTTTAAACCACGCTTGTTAGAGTTTCTTCAAACATGCTAATTCTATTTCCTTTTAAAGGTTGTCTTAATAATGTTTTTGAACAGAAACATATGAAACGTCTATGTTTATGCGTTTATTATCCACTCAGAATCACATAGCCACTTACCAAGTCCAGTCCAAAATAGAACTTTTCTGTTACTACCGTCAAGCTCAGCCACTTCAACACTATTTCGTCCACCATCGGTCCAGTAAATCTATAGAATAATAATTTATTAACAAGCTGCTTTCCGCTTTGTTATTATATCAAACTTGATATGAACAAATTTCGATATTATGTAAACAAGATATTGTTGTTACTTGTAGTATTACTCTCAGAACAGTCAAGAATTTAGGTAATTTAGGTTTATGTTTCTAAAATTATTTACAGTTATCCCATTACTTTATTGCTACATAAAATATAGTGCAATTTTAAACTGATCCAAAAAGGTCTTAGTTATTGGTCATAGTAATTGATATGCTTGCTCACAATTAGACCAACAGGGCACATTCACTAGACTATCAACATAAATGGCAATAAAAAGTTTTGTTACGAGTACTAATACAAACCTTACGACCAGTCGAATCAATGACTAGCCCATCTACTGTATGCAGGCCTTTTCCAATGATGGTATCTATAGTGTCACCGGCCCTGTTAGCTCGTTGAATTTTTCTTTCACCAGTATCAGTCCAATAGATAAGCGCTGCAAATTTTATTTTTTATTTTTTTGTTCCATGCAATCTGAGTTCTATTGTGAAAATTACCTTAACTTAACATCACTGGTCAGATCAATTGCAACTTACATGTTTTGTGATCAACGTCAACACCAAAAGCATTCTTCAATGGAGGTAAAGGTAACGGCACGTCAATTAGATACGGAACATCAAGAGAAACGACACGAATATCTACTCGATGAGCAAATATCAAATAGTTCACCGGACCAGCAGGGCATGTTTTGCCATCCTTCTGTAAGCCAGATAAAGAACGTCAATTATTTTTTTTCAAAACAGTTCAGGTTAGGGTATGATTCCATTGCTAGAAATAATTACGAATGTGTTTGAATAAAAATAACTTACATTGATTTTAAATTCCTATAGGACAGGCACATGATTTCCCGCCAGGCTTTAATAAACAGAGATGTGAACATCCACCATTATTTTTTCCACATCTAGAATGGCAAGAGAGTAATTAATTTTTTACCAACCACCAAAAGAAAAGTGGCTAATGACTTGAATTACCTGTTTATGCCCTTTACTCTTTCTTTATGAAAGACCCTCACATCCATGAGACCTGCCACACCAGCACCTAATGTCCGTCGATTCTTTCCAGTAAACTTATTGGCTGCTTGAATGGATTGCGTTTCCCAATCAGTCCAGAAGACTTCGTCTCCGTAAAGGTCCAGGCCGAATGGATGCGGTAGATGTTGACCTTTATAAGAAATAGAAAATTGATAATTTGGTCATTTTGAGCCTGAGTATAATATAACAAATTCTCGGATATTACTTATTACTATATTATTACAATATCGGACATCGCACATTTGTGGTGCCGTACCAAATGTAGCTATACCATCAAAATCTGGTTTATCAATATTTTATTACTTGCTAGTAGAATATATGTAATAATAAACATTATCACCAAATTTTAATTTATAGGAACTTAAAAGAAAATCGGAATAAAATTTTGTAAAAAAGAAACTGCTTTTTTTCCTTTGTTTATCTATAAATACTTTTAAAATAAAAAATACAGTATTTATACGAGTATACTTAATAATCTCTCATCTATCTCACTCATCCTATCATTTATTTTTTCGCTTCTTTCTTTAGCTGTATTTGATACCGGGTAGAGAGTTTCTACTCACCAATCAAAATAGACCGGCCCGTGCCATCCAGGTTAGCATATTCAATCGTTTTGTTTCCACCATCAGTCCAATATATCCGATTATTGGTGAAGTCAAGAGCTAATCCGTTCGGCCAGGTCATGTTGCCGACGATCAAACGTTTGCGGTTTCCACCGTCCATGTCTGCTCTCTCGATGCAGGGCGATGTCCCCCAATCAGACCAATACATTACTCCAGCTATGTGAAAATAAATATTAAAATTAAATTACGATACAAAAAATGATTTTGGTTTTAATCCTATTCAGCATTCGTTTCCGAGTATTTCAGATTAAAACTGAATTAGGTATTAACTAGATATTATTGAATTACTAGATATATCTTAAATAAGTAATATAATCTAATTTTGAACTGGTTTATTTAATAGTCTTTGCCTTATTTCAGTTAGATTCTACGGTACTTTTAAATTTTAAAAGCAATTGTTTAGTGTTAAATTGTAATATATGGGATGAATGAGCTATTATATTATTTAAATGAATGTTTAACATGTTTTAATATTGCCTGTGCTTTTACAATAACTAGTGTTATTGTGGCAATATATCATTGAATTCGACTACACTATTATGATTTCATGACATTTAAAACTGCTACATTAAAGGTTCTAAACGTAACCACAATCTTGAAAAGTATTATTGTTAAGATTTTCAGCCTAAGAGTATATTTAGCAAATTATACATTGCAATATTTTATACCCACCTTTAGGATCAACAACAATGTCTCTGGGCTTGTCTATGTTGTCCCATGCCAGTAATGTTCTCATGCTACCATCCGCATTAGCTACTTCGATCCTGTTGGTTCCCGCATCGGTCCAGTATAGTTTGTTGGTTATCCAATCGTATGCTAATCCCGCTGGCCAGACTGTAAAATATATTGTGATGTAGGCTTTCGTTTTTTACAATAATATAGCACAAAATATGAGATGGGAGTTTGGGTTTCTGACTGAATGGTAAATATGAACGATTGGTACATATTCCCTTGCTTTTTTCCCTACTTTTTCTCATCTATGTTTCTTTTTTTATTTACTTTCATTAACAGCCTTTAGTGCACTACTGGACATATGCCTCTCCTTAGTAAGGACGTTTTGGCGTACAATACCACTCTGGCCAGACGGATTGGTATAAGTTTTGTTTGAAGTTGTCCTTCTCTTTGCAGTGCTACTGTCCTGCAAAGCTTGCAGCCTTAGTCGGCTCTTACGACACCCACAAAAGGAATAGAGGTGGTATTTTGAAACCGTCACCACACGGAGCAGTGTCGGATTTACATATTTGCAGCCAGTAGGCTACTAAATTTTTGCCGCCCCTTTGGTTACTCTCCAGCCCAGCTTTCTTGCACCACAACCGATGGAACACAACCCCGTGGATGGTCTCCTTGGCCAGAAACGACGGGGAGAATATGGATAATGTTCCACTCATCACGGCTGCTGTTCTACAGATCCGTTCCAAGAACACCGCCCCCGGATCAGATGGGATACCTGCCCGAGTGCTGACGCTAGCCCTCGACCACATGTCTGACCACTTTTGGGAGGTGTTCGACCGCATGCCAATCAGGTCGTGGCCTAAAGGCCCATCGTGTTGCTGGACGAGACGGTTAAATAGTTTGACAGGGTTCTGTCTGCCTGCATCGTCCGGCTCCTCTGCGAGGTGGGCCTTGATCTGTCAGATGCCTAATTCGGTTTTCAAACGGGGTGTACGGTGGTTGGCGCTGTGTTGCGTCTCAGGGTCGTGACTGAAAAGGCGGTGAACGCAACGCATTCAATAGCATGCCATTCAGCTACATCAGAGGGTCACTCCACTATCACGAGCTGCCTTAGCTGGTGGTTAGAGCCACATAAGGTTGTCGCACTGTGTCTACGGAGGCGGCGTGCGTGTTGGTAGTAATGGGCATTAATGCTAATCAGATTTAATTTAATTAATTGCGAATTCATATGGCTTAGCATGTTAATTGCTAATGCTAATATTATTTGCTAATATTGCAATTTCGTTCGAGAAATAACAATTACTTATAACTAATACTATCTTTTCTGATCTGATGACTGATCGAAGGTACCAATTCTATGAGAAAATATAAACAATTTAACAAAACACTACGAGAAAACAGAGGCATTCAAAATAATACCTAATCTCCTGGCCACTTGTTAAAAAGTCAATGAAATATTATTATGAATATAAGTCAATTAAAAACATTTGTATTAAATATTTAGGATTGTCTAAATAAGTGGATTTATTTTAAAATAGATACCGTACCGAGTGAAATAGGTACTTAAGCATGACAACAGATGGTTCATTTTTCATTCATTTAGCATTAGCAGTTGTATTAATATTTAGCACGACGATTTATTAAATTCAATTTTGACTTCGCGTTGATGCGAATGAGAAAGCCGCGCTGTATGAATGTGAAGCGTTAACGAATGAAGCGACGATATTTCACGACTACAATTAATTTGCTAACTGCTAATTAAGAATTCACAATTAAATATGAGTGTGAAGACTAATTATTCCATCTAACTGTTGGCAGAAACACCTTTTCGGGATTTGGAGGCGAAAGTGTTAGCTGAAGTTTAACGGCGGACGGCTGAGGCCCGATGAGGTACGTAAGTGGCATGAGGCAGCTAGTGGCCGAGCCAACAAGCCACGATGGCCCGTTGGTTTCCTGGCTAGAGGCTCCAAGTGCTGCCTTTGCCGCCGTGGAGGCGCTTCAGCCTGTCATTGTCGAGTGGGTAGGGCCCTTTTCCTTCCGACTGACAAAGGCTCTTTCTGGCCACGGCTGCTTCGGGCAGTAACTGCAATCGGTCACTAGGAGTAAATTGAGTCCTGCCTGGGCAGTTTGCCGTGCCTGGGCGTCGCAGCGACAGGACCTCATTGCAGTCATCGGAAAGGATCTTTCGCCGCCGGCGAACTGGGCGGTGGAGGCGCGCAATCCAGGCTCTCATGCCTGCGTGCCTTAAGTCCGATACTTCTTTTCGCCGTGTAAATATTAATATTTTTTTATTACTGTAAAACAAAAAAAGTTTGCCCCAAATTTGCCACCCCCAAAAATTTGCCGCCCTAGGCTCCAGCCTACTCAGCCTGCTAGCAAATCCGCCACGGAGAGTTATTTACTTTATTAGAACTCTTTATTTCAATGTAGTGCACCTAAAATCACTCATTTTACAACACCCAAAGTTAGACTGGTAAAGAATGTCTATGGCATTAAGTCTACCTTTGTACATTTTCACACAAAATAAGTGTGGTGACGGATTAAGAATACAGAGTGTTACCACCCCTATTCATCCCGTCGGTGTCGTAAGAGCCGACTAAGGGAAAAAACTACGCAGGACAACAGCACTGCAGAGAGAAGGAAAACTTGACACAAACCCTATATCAACCCGCCTGTCCAGCGTGGTATAGTAGGCCAAAACCTCCTTTCTAAAGAGAGGCTTATGTCCAGCAGTGGACTATTAAAGGCTGTTGATGACACAAAATAAAATACTATTGCATCCTGGTCGAAGTCAAATTTCCACTCAATCAGACGCTATCAAATACTCGACAGAAGGAAATCATATTATAAAAGAATAGGAACGAATGCAGCAAGTAAAAAGTTAAAAAAAATGCTTGTATTAGAGTGCCGCAAACAAACAACCGGTTTTAAAATACACATCTATATCTATTATACAGATGTGTATTTTATATCTATTATACAGGTGTTTATTTTAAAACTAAACTTTAAAATTTCAAGTAAGTTCTAGCCAATCTTAAAATGTTTAGAAATTTAAATTTAGAAGTAATTTAACTTCTAAATTTAATTCTAGTTGTATTTATTTATAGTTTATACCGTAAAATACCTATACACATGGTAATTTTTCTGTAAAACTTGTTGTTTATAAAATGTGCGTGTATCTACTACTTACTCAGATTAGAGTTAACAATGACGTTTTGATGAGAGCCATTGAGGTAAGCGCGATTTATCGTATCCTTGTCAACGTCCGTCCAGAAAATGGAGTTGCTGTTGTGATCCCAGTCTAAGGCCACGGCAGATTTTATCGTTTCCACAGGAATCACCTGATCGAATTCCTTATGATATTACAGTAGGTACCATTGATATATTGAACATACTAATTATATTTGAAAACGTTTCCTAGGCGTGTTATAAAAACTACTAAAACTAAATATAAATCTAAATATAATCAAATAATTAGTTCAAATTTATTCCTATTTAGGTGTAGGAATTTTCCTTCCAAAATCCCTAGCGAGACTACTACATACTCGTATATATAATACAATAGTAATACTTGCCAGTAACTTGATTTGTAAAATTTTTAGTTACATATAACAGTACTTATGACTATAGCTATACTTTTTTATTGCCTATATTTTGTTTATTAGTTATTAAAATTAATAATTCATAAGTTTAAAATTAATTTTGCTAACATAATCACAATAATGTTAATAACTATATTACACATAAATCTTAATATATATAAATCTCCTGTCACGATGTTTGTCCGCGATGGACTCCTAAACTACTTAACCGATTTTAAATTAAATTGGCACACCGTGAGCAGTCTGGTCCAACTTAAGAGATAGGATAGCTTAGATCTTTAATTATAGTCGCAATTTTATTTTATTGCAAATTATTGGTCTATAATTAATTGACAGTCACAATTATCTGTTAACTCCAAAAGATTCTAACAGATGGCGATGCTTTTCGACTGGATTGAGTAAGTAATGAATAGATGGCACTGCTATGGTAAACATATGCTGATTACTATTTATTTCAGAGATAATTTTATATTACAACTAGCTGAGACCCGCGGTGTTACCCGCGTTTGATGTTACAAACGCGGGCAACGCCGCGGTTCGAAGCTAGTATACTTATATATTTCAAAATACTTACTTATCTAAATCTATATACATACAAATGTGAAGTTGGTTTGAGTACGCTACAAAAACTAAAAAAGAGCTTCACCAATTAAGCTCAAGTTTTTACACGATATACAAACCCCTTCAAAGATGGTTTTTATCTATTTTGTGTCATTTTTTGTTTTTCATTGTTTTAGCAACGCAACCACAATGTGCCACAGCGAAGCGTGGCAGGACACAGTTATATATAAACTTCATCCATATTGTCCTAAGTGAGAATCGAACCCACGATCTCTGACTTAACAGTCGCGACTAACCACTAACCACAGGTCGGTGTGCGAAAAAATTGCTCTTAATTATGTTTGCCTGAAACCTTACCATATCCAATGAATCAGTTTGTTTCCTCGGATTCAACTGTTTCAACCTTATGTCCTTCTTGCGCGCATAAAGTAACAATTTCTCTGGATTTTCTTCACATGTCCGGCTATAAAATGAAAGGTGACTAAATTAAAATTTGAATATTGGCGGACATATTTGCCTTGAACACCAATAATAAACTTTTCTAAGCATAGTAAGTAACATAATAGAGTTTTTGATACATTACCCATCATCGTTAAGATTGAAACCAACGGGGCAACGACAAGAATGGTCGTCGCTATTCGGCAAACAAAAATGAGAGCAACCACCGTTGTTGTAGCCGCAGCGGTTCTTGTACGTTCTTATTTGTCGAAGTGGGTGGTAACTGGTGGAACATAAAAACTTTTTAGTTGAAGGGTATTAAACTTACTTTTTAGCGATTTGTCTGCGTTGTGTGTGTACTATTGATAATTGTATCATCATACATAAGTTAAAGGTTTAAAAATATGGAGTAGAATAAGCGTCGGTGAGCAGCCTATCAACTTCTGATTTACTTTTGATTATTTATAATTCAATTATAACTCAGGTACTGTACATATTTTATACTTATTATAAAATATTGAAACTATAAACAACAATGTAACATTCGTGCCGTTAAATCTTGATGTTATCCGAATTCATTTACAAATATACCATTACGTCTAAGGTATTACGATTATCATTACTAAATAGGTCATTAAGTGTAAATATACTAATTTTATTTGAGTACGAATTACCTGTGTATATCCATAGGAACATTCAGCCCGGCATGAACAGTCTGTATGCCCATGCCGGTATTTTTGTTCACTGTGGATATGCTCTTCGTGTGCCAATCCGTCCAATAGATCGCGTCTTCAAACAAAGTGAGAGCGAAAGGATGAGGTAGTCCTTTATTAGTAATCTAAAAACAGATTGGTCGGCGTTATGTTCAATTCACTAAATCATAATTATTCGTTTGCTTTTGATTAACGTTATTTCAGTTATTAAAAGAAAGTTTGATACACAAGTATTTGAACATTTAAAAACTGTTTTGTAATAAAATCGTTACCAAATTTACATAGCATCCTTAAAAACCAATTAGTTTTTTTTTTTTTTTTTTTAATTATAAAAGACAACTCCCGAACTAGGAATAAATCCTGTGTTGCGGGGGACTTTAAAAACATACAAAAGACGGACACAAAGTACACCCAGACTCAGAACAACAATTTATGGATCACACAAAGTGTTGTCCCATGTGGTGTTTGATCCCACAACACTCGGCGCAGTAGGAAGCAGCGTGGCGACCGCTTAAACCAACTAAGTCATCCGTGCAGTGCATCCGTGTACAATATCTTTGAAAATAATTTGCTTACTCTTTTCCGATAATGTCCATCAAATGAGGCTTTCTCAATAACGTGGTGTTTAGCATCCGCCCAGTATATTTTTGAATCCGTATAATCGATAGTTAATCCATTTGGCCAGAATATTTTATCGACTATGACACTTTTGCGTCTACTACCGTCCATATCCGCTCTTTCTATCTTAGGATTGGGACCTAAAACATAATATAAATTAAAATATACTTTATGGCCATTAGGTTACTCAGAAGAAATATCGCATTATGTAACAAGGACACAAGCCTATACAGTCTTTTATTGTACTATTAATGTCCTGCATCACAAAAAAACTTGCTTACCCCAGTCTGTCCAAAAGACCAAAGCATCTCCAGGATGTACCGCTATTGCTCTTGGTTTATCCAGATCGTTGGCAGCAATGACGGCCCTTTGAGATCCGTCTAACGTGGTTACTTCTACACGTCTGGTACCAGAGTCAGTCCAGAATAGAAGATCGTGAATCCAATCAACGGCAACGCCACTCGGTGTTTCTAATCCCCACCTTATAACATCTGAGGGCAAATTAGCATCCATAATATATTTCTTTACATGATTCTTTCTATTGTTAGGTATTTTTATAGGAATTGTCTTTCGTCGACGTTTTCGTGCTGATTAAAGTGTGTAAAGAGCAAATCTGTATTTTCTCAAAGTAGATTTTATTATTTTTGCCAAAGTAACACAGATGGATGCAATAAATTTCATTTGTTTTTAAAGCATCAACTTCCGATGTACGCTTGAAAGATTTTTTTGTTTTTTTTAAATTAGATTTTAAAATCTGATCAGATATTTCCACCCCCTCGAATATTTTAGATATTTTGTAAAATTTCCTAATACATTTACAATTCATAATCCTAATTATCATCACATTTATTGACACACACTTAGACATACGAGTAGACTTAGAGATGTCAAATTAGATTGTCTCTATTTCCATGTCCTCTGTATAAAAGAGTTCTGCACTTAATTCACTTAAGTAAGTTAACTTACCAGTTAGATTATTGTTATTAATCTGTGCTACCCTGATGACCCTCAAGTTGTTTTCTGTCCAGAACACCAGTTGTTTTTCATAGTGGTAGTCCAAGGCGACTGCATTATGTAGCCCTTTCACCACTGGCATGTAGTTGTCTCCAGTTAGCCAGACCTACATGAAGATCAATAGATATTGGTATTTTTTTTTAAAGACAACTTAACTTTAAAAACGTACATGAAACGGATACAAAGAACACCCAGACTCAGAACAACAATTTCTGGATCGCACAAAATGTCATCGGATCGGACCCACAACACTCAGCGTAGTAGTAAGCGGCGTGGCGACCGCTTAAACCACTATGCCATCCGTGCAGTCGCAATTACATTAAACTTAACTTATAGATTTTGAATATATATGCGTAGCTTAATATTATACTAACTAAAACGTCCTAATGTCCTAATTTTGGCAGTTTATTCGAAGTATTGAAAATCGGAATGTCATTTTTCGGACCCTTCTGAGAACCCTTCGGACATTTGATTTTTCGAATGTATAAAAACCGGAAAATAAACAAATTGCATTTACGACATTCAGTAAAATAAATTTCGTGAATTTCAATGAATTCAATGAATTTCAATAGATTAATTTTGAACTGGTGATAGGTATAAAGAAATTAGAGTAATAAGTAAGGTCTCTGTTATTTATATTTGTGTTTTCTTCTCGTTATCTCTGCGTCGGGTACCATCCACCTTTATTGATTTCTTTGGGTTAGGTTAGAACAGTGGCGATTAACGCCAGACCCTCTCAAAAATTTTATACTTTTACAAATATTAACATATTTATACATAGAAAACACCCAAACTGCGAAACAAATATTTGCAGGTCATACAAACATTTGGTCCGACCCGGGACCTCGAGACCTCAGCACAGCAGTCGCATACGCTACTACTGCACCACCGTGGCAGTCGAATAATTATTATTCAGTCGAATATTTAAGAATAATAGCTTCTGGAACTATTAGTCACATTAAAAAGAAACTGTTTGTATTAGATAGAGTATTTATTGAGAATTAAAATAGGCCTTAAAACGGCAACACCCATCATCAATCATCAACAGCCTATACTAGTCCACTGCTGGACATAGGCCTCTCCTTAGGTATTTTCGGCAACACCCAAATACTCCGAATTTCGATGTGCCGATTTTCAAAAGTCCAACTTTCATAATACCTAAGAATTATAATGTCTATTATTGAAATTCACCAAATTTATTTTACCGAAAGTCGTAAATGCAATTCGTTTATTTTCATCAGTCAATCTAGCATTCATAATATAAGCTGTGGTTAGTTTGAAAAAAAAAACGAGTTTAAACAAACAAAAACCTCCTCAGCTTTCTTACATTCCTGATTTATTAATCAAATGATGTGCTTTGTTCACATATCTCGACTTAAAATATAAAATTGTTAATCATCTATGTATTAATATATTTGTAAATTATCTAATAACATGATATATAATATAATTAATTAAAATCTAATCTTACTTGTCGTATTCCAATCCTGTTTGAAAAGAGAAGCGTAGGTGATTCTCCTGTTGGCTTACAGGATCTACCATCGGGTCTCAACACATAGCCCGTCATGCATCCACATTTGAAACTTCCCACGGTGTTAGAACATGTTTGAGAACATACTGGGTCTTGTTCGTACATGCATTCATCAATGTCACGGCAACTGGATAATGGGAAAACCAAATCGACTGTTTAATTTAAATAAAAAATTCCAGGCTCGAACGGTAAGGAACGACCACAAAGGAGTTCATGTATTTTTAGTTCATACATTTATTGAAATAATTTATTTTTGTGCAAGCTGTGTTCTATTTTATTGTATATTTTGGCAAGCCGAAATCTACTTTAATATATCCTTTTTAAAAGAAAGGTGACTTCAAACAATACTAACAAAGGGCACTAAAGATTAAAAAATAATTACAAATCTAATTGAAGTGCGACCCTCAATATAACAGGTAACATTATAATAGCAATATACCTTTTAGTCGGTGCCAAGCCAGCACCGACTTCAAACAGACTAAGTGGCGGCGCGGCTGGGAGGGTATTCATGCTGCGCAAAATATGCTAAACGAGCCAAAGTGGGTTACGCACATTTCATATGATATTATTTTGAATGCATTATTAAGTTAAGTACATAAGTTTGCGTAGGTAATTGGTCAGCTTCATCATCATCATCCCCACCCAAGGAGCGCTAAGCATCCCGGCCTTGGGCAATCCGCTTCTGACTATATGATATTGTTGAAAGAGTTGTTCTCTAACTGCTATAGGTCAAGGAGCCTTTCATCATCAGCTCAGCAACATGAGATAACGACTACCAAACGCAAATACCTGGATACAATACCTATTATAAATAGCTAGAGAAAAAAGCTAAAACACGCTGTCGAGACTGTAAAATTTGAGGGTTTCCCTCGATTTCTCTGGGATCCCAATGTCAGTTCCTGATTTGGTGGTAACGGGACCACCTCGGGAGTATACCCTTTCGATAACAAAATAATGTTTAATGTTGGTCCACAATTGACACAGATATCCCGTAACCAACATACAAAAAAAATACATACAGACAAATTGGGAACTGTTTTGTGTTTTTGAAGTCGGTTAATAAAAAAGACAAACGATATCTAATAATACTTACGTATAATTATTGCTGGCGAGTAGGAAGCCGAGATCGCAGGTGCAAGTCTGTCGTTCATCATACGTAGTGATACACATGCCAGGTTCACAATGATCTTCTTGAGTACACTCCCTTTTCAGAGGACATTTATCTTCATCATCACCTTGTAAAAAGAGGAATATATTGGTATGATATATGTAACTATATACCTTATACTGCCTATATCGAAATATTTGTAGAAACAGTTTTTGACATTGCATAAAGGTTATAGGTGGTTTATTTTAGTTTCTGCAGGCCCTTACGGTAACCTTCCTTTGGAAAGTCACGATACCAGTGGCCTTGGATCGGAGGACTGAACTGCATTTTCGAGTACATAAGTTAATCGGGTTTTCTATTAATTAAACAATTAGTACTTACCTTCAGGACAATCCTTCATGCCGTCGCAAACGTGTTTTCTGTTTACACAATTCCTGAATGCGCTGCTAATAAGATGCTCTTGAGTTTTGCAGGTGTATTGATCTTCTTCACAGTGTACCTCGCAGTTCATCTCATCTTCGCCGTTAGTACAGTCGCGAACACCATCGCAAAGCCAGGTTTTCTATTGAAATTGATTAGGAATTAGTTGGTTAGGAAGTTTGTCTGTAATAAAGACTTAGAATTCACATCCTACGTTCTGTTGCTAATGGTTTTTGTCTGTTAATTTTGAGATAAATGGTCTTATGCTTAAATAAAAAAGACAAATCATCCTATGATTTAAATTCTAATAAAAAATTCATGTGAGTCAGTGAGTACCTGTAATCATTTCTTTAATTGACTATGGTGATATATGTTAATTTTAAAAATATACAGCAGATCATGAAACTTAAACGCGTCGATATAATTTAGTCAAGCATGTTTGCTGCTGTATAATCTTCCCTTTATTATAAAGCTGTAAAAGCTGTGTCTATTATTCTATGATGAATAGTCGATTTTGAGTTTAGAACTTACCAGTATGCACCTCCTATCGAGGCAAGTATATTCATCAGTAGTACAGTTTCGCATTGTGTTAGGTTCACAATTCAGTTCATCTTCACTGTCCGTACAATCCCTCTCTGAGTCACACCGCCAACGGTCAGGAATACATTTGCCATCGCTGCATCTGTTAGATAATTATCATAAGAATAAAGTTTTATCGCAATTATAGTTTGACAATATTGTGTTCCAGAGAGATTTAAAAATAACATAAAACTGAATAAGAAATAGTATGAGTATTTAAGTATATTTAGGCACATACCCTCAATTATTAAACATGGTAATTTTGTTTTAATAATAAAAAATATAAAAAAATAAACAAAAATTACTTTTATTATTTGCTCCTTGTTAAGAGGTGTTCAAAATAAATACAAAAATAAACTTTGTATTTTTCACTTTCAAAAAAAGATTTCAAAAATCAAAAATATTTTACCTGAATTTCCCCCCCCCACAGCTACCGGGAGCATGGGACAAGAGTTTCCCCTTTCCGTCCGTCCCGGGAATCGGTTGTCTCCGTCGCAGTTGAAGTCTTTGTTAATGCATTTTTTGTTATCACATTGAAACTCGTTCTCACCACATCGTATAAGATCAACAGCTGTCAAGCATATTTTATAATTCAGAACTTACCACTTACCATACGATTTTATAAAGTAGTTCGCTATTATTTTTGTTGATCAAGAATTACGTTAGTTTTAACAAAGATACATTTATTCTGTTAAATTCATGATTTATTTGCATAGTCGTAGAGATATCTTCGATAAATGCAATTCTTATGATTTATGATAGTTGGTTCTTTAGATACACTTAGGTTAACATTTAAAACTGATAAAATCATTTACGTTTAAACACCAAATATTTAAATATTTTTATTTAAATTTTACTTAATAACATTACAAAACATTTTTTTAGTTAGTTACTCGATAATTTATACAAATAATACTACTTACGACAGTCAGCTTCATCGGTGCTGTCAGGACAATCGGGTTCCTTGTCGCAACGCCAATGTTTGGAAATACACTCGCCACCCCGGCCAATGAATTGATCACTGGGCCCTCTGCGAAAAAAAATTTAAACTCTTTCAAAAGAACCTCTTAGAAAACAAAGTTATTTTTGTATAAAAATAAAAAATTTTTCTAAAAAAATCTTTAAAGTATTTTAAGCAAACAGTAACCTCCCTACAAAACGCCCCCAAAAGATTAATTTTTTTATATTGAAACCCCTTCGTTCGCTTTTGGAATTTAAAAAGCGCCCCTTAGGGGTTTTCGTTTAACGGCCGGGAAAAATTTTTTAAAGGATTTTTTTTTGAGGGGAAAAAATACCCTAAGTTACTCCTTTTATATAGACAGCTACCCTGGTAGAAAAATTTTTTTTTTAAAATCGGGGGCACCTTTTAAAAGAAGATTACCCAAAACCCAGACAGTTTAGAAAAAACAAAAAATTTTAACTCGTTTTTAGGCATAGGTATCGTGTAAATAACCGTGATAGCATGAAAAAAACCTATAATTTCAACATTACAAACAGACACTTAATTTATTTGTATTGATTACAGAAATTAATTTATTTGTATTGATATCAGTTAAAATGTCTTCGGACCAACTAAGGGAAAGCCCAGTAAATCCTGAATAACACCATGAAGAGACCACCAAACAGTTACCATTACCTTTTTATTGGTAAACATTGCTTTAAAAAAATTGGTTAAAAGCCGCAACAGTGCCCGTTGCGGCTTTTAACCAATTTTCGTCAAATGTCACAATACGATCCAATTTTCCTTCATTTCTGTACCAAATCAACAATGCAACACTTCACAAGGCAGATCAAATCATGAGGCACCAATTTTTAATATTTTTTTTTATCTTATTGATTTAATGCAAATGATAAATATTGTAGGTAGGGTAACTTTATACCATGCCGCTAATTCGTGAATAGTATGATCGAATCGGCTTCCACCACCCTCTTCTTTTAACGTTTTTAAACGTGGGGGGCGGTCTTCACGTTTTTTCTTTTTTTCAAGTCGAAGTTTCCATTAGAAAGTGTTTAAACCTGCGTTTATTAGCAGTCACCCCCCAAAACGCAGCGTTGATATTGCGACCCGCTTTGCCGCTTATTTCGACGTCGGAACTCGCATTTAAAAGCTCCGATTTCGAAGTATCTATCTTTCACGAAAAAGCGAAAAAAAAAAATGAGTAGAAAATTGACGTCGCACATTTCTTAAAAGAAAACCCTCATAGGATATGTGCAACCATAAAGGTTTTTATTCAATTCAAATACTATTATATAAAACGGCAATTTAAACCCTTAAAAACCCTTTTAATACTGACGATACCAAATGCTGCATAAAGAGTTAAACTTGCACACAGATTTTTGTCAATGCGCCAAGAGCTTGACCCAAAGAGTCTTGAAAGTCTACAGCCATTACTGTTCCCTGTTTTGAATTCCAGAATAAAAAACATAAGTAAAATAATAAAGGAAAAAAATTAAATAAATTTAAAATATTTTCCTTTTTACATAGTTCTGCATATTTTAAAAATCTGATTTACGAAGATATATTAAAACGCTTTTTTTTGTGCAGCACCTCCCGAAACAAGCGTGCAGTGGGCGTTGTGAAGTAAGCCCTTTTAAAAAAATTCTCTGGGTTTATTGGTGCAAGGACGCCTTTGGACATTTTTTTACACGTTCTCTTACACTATATTTTATAGTTGTAAAAATTATTTACATTTTCACACGTGTCGTTCTCTCTTGAGGCAGTTTTTTTAAATTTAAAGTTCAATGCGGATAAACGTTTGCAATTATACATAGAATGTATTATTTACACACACTTATAGATTGTGGTCATCTGTAAAGCAATTTTTCTAGATAGACCAAAGGCATTGTTTGAGTTTTTTTGCTGAATTTTGAATTTTATTTATTTAGCAGGTGTATTTTGGCCCGGGCACGCCGTCATCGCGGCGGTAAGACCCGTTATGGAGGATTGGCTCGAGAGGCGTCACGGGACCCTCTCATACCGACTGACGCAGGTGATCACTGGGAAAGGATGTTTCGGGGATCACCTGTGTCTGATCCGCAAGGAGCCAACGCCTGAGTGCCACCACTGCGATGGCCAGACCGTGGGACACGGCTCTCCACACGCTGGCAGAGTGCCCGGCGTGGGTTGAGCAGAGGTGAGACCTCGTGGCGGCCATCGGAATGGGAGTTCTCTCGCTCGATAGCCTGATAGCGGCTATCGTGCGGAGCCGGGACCGGGTGAGGTTTAGAACTCTCCCGGCCCGCCAGGCCCGGGAACGGGCTAGGTACCGCGACTTTCAGGGAGCAGAGGGAACATGGGGTTCCCACACGGGGGGGGGGGGGGGGGTCGTCTACTCGTCTGTAGATGGCCCGAGGTATGTCGGGGCACCAGGGACTTCCTTTCTAGGGTATACCTGGTTCCCCGGCTATTAGTACCCGAGACGGCGTGCGGTTTTAGTCGGTTCGAGTCCGACATGCCACCGCTAGGTGGTATCCGAGGGGATTTACGCACGAAAAAAAAAAAAAAAGGGTGTATTCTGGCTATTGTTTATAGTCCATACTTATAGTATAAATGTAATAGTGAATTTATTTCTTTGTAACACGAAACTAATTTCCAAAATTCTTTCACCAGTGGTGAGCTACATTATCAGGTTCAGTGGGTAGAGCCGCGGGCAAAAGCTAATATTAAATGAAGGCAAATTTTGTTGAAATAATATATTTTTGACGGGTCTGTTGGTCTAGTGGTTAGTGACACTGACTCATCGGACGGAGGTCATGGGTTCGATTCCCACCCAGGACGATGTGATGAGCACGATGATTGGTTCTGTGTCTGGGTGTACTTTATCTATGGTATGTATGTAATTTAGAAATATTTAAGTATGTTCATCAGCAGTCTGGTTACCATAGCACAGGCTCTGCCTAGTTTGGGATCAGACGGCTGTGTGTGAGATGTGTGAATTTATTATTATTATCATATATATAATATATTCCTGATATCTAGGACATATTGCACAAAGCGCTGAAGCTATCATTTGTAATACTTATACGTTATAGAACTCAAATAGAGAGACATAATTCATGGTTATTATAAGTAGAAACATACAGACAATATATTTGAGACAGACTGCCTCGTTAGTGCAGAAGGTTTCGGGTTCGATTCTTGGGTCGGACCAAATGTTTGTATGATCTGCAAATATTTGTTTCGAAGTTCCGGTGTTTTCTATGTATAATATGTAAGTATTTATTTAAAAATGTATATAAGTATTCTATCAGTCAATCTAGCTTTTATAGTAAAAGCTCTGTTTAGTTTGAAATTAGATGGCTTTGTGTGTTAGACGCCCAAAATATTTATTATTATTCCCTTTATTACATTATATATACATATTGATTACATTTTAAAAATATATTACAAAAGAAAAAAAAATTATAGACCACCGACATCTTGTACAGGGACCAAGACGCCGGTGGTTAGGACTTCAAAGTCAGGACCTCCTCACTATACGGGCTGTGTCAAGAAGAACTGCCTTCTGCATCAGACCCTTGATCCAGCCGTCTAAATTTTTAATTTAATTACTATCAAATTTAGATTTTTCTCATAGAATATGGGGAAAATAAGTGACACTTGCAACTCAAGAGTAACAAGTGCATTGCCCCCAGAATGGAGGGTTGGGGTTGAGCTCCAGTACCTCACTTACTCGTTAAAAGCAAGGAAATATTGCGGTTTTCTATGAAGCCATGTCATATCACCCCGGTCAAGCTCAAATTTGCCGAGGCATTGTTCAATCACGGCATTGCGCGGTGATCTGACCCGCGACCTCTGACAATACAGTCGGGTCAGTACCTCACCACAAAGGGCATCAATATAATCCATATCGAGCAAGATTTTCATATATTTTTTCGACTACTGATGTTTCTTTAAATTGGTTTGTGTAATTTTAAGCAATTTTCGATTTTCTTTAACACTAACTAACATCGTCACCAAATATACCATTTGAATAAAAATAGAGGTAACCCAAAACACAGCAAACAAAGGCATTATTAAAGGTATAAACTAAAGGTATAAATTTTATTCTCATCTGTTGCTCATGTGTTTTTTTTTCAGTAATCTCTTTGGAAATACGATTTCAAATTAATTAACACTTAATTTTTATTAACTTTATATCTATATGCTGTCAGTTAAATTAAATATAACACAATAACTGAGCTTTTCGAATCAGATAATTAAATAATAAATCTCCTCTAATCATATTGTAACGTTTAGATAAAACTGTCTGTACGGATCATTGTAGCCACTACTGGAATTACAGTAATGTTAATCACGTCAATGATTTTGTTCTATAATGAGCCCGCCCACGGAAATGGGATATATCGGGCGAGTCTCCTTGAAGGGACGCAGTTAGAGCGTAGGCGCGTCGTCATGGCAGCCTCCCCCGACCGCGCGCCCTCTCTTCATCCCCCAACACCCCAACGTATTGATCTACCGTCCGCTACAGCTCCTACGGCGCAATGTAAAATAAAATTCTGAAAGTCCCGCCTAAGCTTTTTTGGTTTTTGATCTAACTGTTTTTCATGATAAGGTACTACCAAAAGATGATTCTGGTCATAGATACTTTTTTCTATATTTTAATCGTTTAAACTCAAACTCAACCATATACACGGACGTTACCATTAGGTAACGTTCGTGAGTTGAGATTGCGTTTAATAATAATTTTAAAATGTTAATTTAAAAATTAGGATTAGACCGAGTGTCATCATTATGAGGGTGATATTTTTAGTTATGCCTCTTTCAAGTAAAAATGCGAGTAAATTGATTTTAAACAATATACTCGTAATGCTATGGTAGCATGGTATACCATGTCATACCGAATACAAAACAAAAATTAAATCAGATACAATGGTACATTATCGTCGTAGACACGATGGAATGTTTCAACTTTTAAATTTACTGCTGAAGTCTTATATACCGTTATCAACAATTTGCTTCAAACCTCATACTCGTACTAGTTTTATAAATTATAAATACTTACATTTTAATAGAGATACTATTTAATTTTCTCAATAAAAATTACTAAATTAAATCAAAATAATATTTGATTGGATATCATAGGAAAATCTAAGAATAGAAGTATCGGAAATTACGTGAGCAATTTTCATTTACTAATGATTTTATAGATTTTACGTGTCAAGCCAGGCAAATTCTTAGAATGTGTTATATTAAATAGTATCTAAATATTGTATCCGCTGCACAAATATAATCTATAGAAAAAGCTACAAGTATATTTGACTTATATCGGGTTGCAATATTTTTCTTGTGTAATGAATTACTTAAACGAAGCAGTCTCCGACCAAGATTAATTACTATCATACATTATATAAGATATCATAAAATATATGTCAATCTTCACAAGAACTTATTCCGACTAACAAGTTGCAGCACAGATTATATCAGGCTAAGCAAGGAAAGTGAAAATTATTGTAACTGAAGAATTGACAAGGATGAAATCAGTCGAAGAAAAATACTTTTCTAATTATGGAAACGCGTCCTTGGAAACTAATGGTCTATTTCAGAAAATGTATAATGTTTCTTATGTAGCAATGGAATTAATTGGGCTTTTTTTTTTGATAAATTTGGAAAAGGTGTAATAGATATAAATTAATTCATGGTATAGAAGGTAATGATTAGAGTTTGAAATCGGTACAAAGGTATCGATTTTTTATTTATTTATTTACACATCATACACTTTTGGTGCATTGGCGGCCGTAATGCCTGAAGCATTCTCTACCAGCCAACCTTTTGGTGGCACAGAGAAAGCAGGAAGTAGGTGCATTTTGGTTAAAGTTTGTTTGTAGTAATAATATCAAATACGCATACATAAACCTAACATACATTAGAACCCTTACACATTATACATACGTACATACTATTTGTAGATACATACCTAATATCTAAATACATACAGACTTATATAAAGTACATTACTCCCATTACAAACAGAGAATGGTGAGATGACGTAAAGGCGATATTCAAAAATTGGAAGAGATACGTTATCTTGCATTAAATTGCTCTGGCGACGATACACACTCGAGTAGGATCACTATGGTTTGCAATACGCGAGGGATTCAAAACTGCCTTGAAGGCTGTTAACCGATCAACATTAGATCGCCATATTATTGTTTGCATACTTTGTAGTACAAGGCGTACTATGAATGTAACTCTTTGAAATTAGTTTTAATTTTTGCGCATTATGGCTGCAGTAACTGCTCGCGTGACAATATTTTACGTACGTAGAATATAATTAGCAAACTACCGCATTAAGTGAGTAGTAACCAAGGGTCGGTTTTATTATTTGGTTCATATATTTAGGATTTAGTTGATTTTTATAATAGGACTGTTTATAGTCTAAGTTCTAACTTAAAGGTTAAATATAAAACAATTTTATAAAAAGTTGAACTTGTACGTACAAGTTGCACTCACAAAAATAGATGAATTTTGAAATACTAGATACTGTGCTCTTACAATACATATGACGTTACAAATATGAGTCAAGATGAAAGGGTTTATCCGTATCAGACCGCTTAGACTTTTAATGGTATCCACGTGGTGTCATTTTTTTATTCATTCGATTTATTCCGGTAAGCTTTCGATAAGAGAAATGTATACATATTCAAAAAGTATGCAGGACTCCGTTTTATATGTTACGATGGTAGGAAACCTGCTCTGGATAGTAAACTTTAATAATTCGTGAATTGTTAATCTCAAAATAAACAAGTTTTCTAAAACATTTAATGTAATCACCAATTACGACATAATAAAAACACTGATGCAGAATATAGAAACACTATCCCGTAATTTTATTCCAGCCTACGTGAAAATTCTAAAAATAGCCGTCTGAATGTCGCCCGCTCTATAAGTAAATTTCGTCATATACCTACAATAAATATGTATATTTTTTTACCATTTCTATGAAAAACTACTCAGAAGAACGCATTCTAAAACTGTGTTTTTGACAAATTATCCTCCGACCTCAGTAGACACGTAATATATTTATACTTTTTTTAAAGAATTTCAGTCAGACTTTACTTTATTGGCGAATTTGTTGGAATCAATATTATTTCATAGAGTTTTTCAAATGTTGCCATTTTAAAAAGTGAGGAGAGTAGTTGTCTTTGTAAAATCGAGTAACACCCACGAGTATCCCACACACAAAATGTGGTTTTTCCTCTGATTGACTAGTAATTACAATATTATTGAGATTGTACTTCTAATTCTGTGTAGTTTGCTCCCTTAGTCGGCTCTAACTACACCACACGAACCAATTTTGAAACGTAACACCTTACTATTTTTTTAAAATTCTGCTTGAGTGTCTATTTTATATATAACAGCACTGCTAGGATGTCATGTCCAGCAGTAGACTAATAAAGGCTGTTGAGATGATAAGTGTGCTTATTAAGGCTTTCCGTGATGTTTAAACTGTGATAAAGTTATAGCGTAACAATATCTGTAGTGAGGTGCCTTAATGAACTTTATCAAATTAACCTAACTCAAAAAAAAAAAATAGTAGACTAACTCAATTGTTTGGTCATGTATTATCGTCCTTAAACTATTTTATTGATAACAGCAATGTACCTTCGGACTTATTCGGAATTACCGCAAAAAAATTACTAAAGGAAAATTAGTAATTGTATTATTATTACCTTGCATACTTATTTTCTAAACGAATTTTTGACTTAAACAATAAAATTAATTCTAAGTGACATCTCGAAGGCAGTTTATTTATGATATGACGTTACTCGTACTCACCTTCCTTTAGTGCAGTTGGTTTCATCGGAGTTGTCACGGCAATCATTGTCACCGTCACATACCCAGTCCGTATGGATGCAAAGGCCGTTGGCACATTGAAACTGCTGCGATGTACAGTTTGTCAGTCCACCTGCACAAATATTTTATTTGACGTCAGTACATATATCCTCAGAGCCAAAATATATGTTTGTCAACTTTCCTCATAATTTCATGTACAGCCTGATTGGTTAACACCTACACATAGTCATAATAGAGATCGCGAATGGTAAACGTACGACATAAACGGCTCAGTACAGCGTGCCCGCGACCGAAGATCAGTGGTCGCGCGACTTGCAGCGACCACTGATCAACAACTTTTTTGCAACTTTTCAGCAACTTTTTTGTTGTCTATTTTATTATCATAATAGATGCAGTTCGTAACCGCCCGTAAATCTTCTTCTTTACATCCTCTTGATGACCCGAATGCGTAAAAAAGATTTTTTTAACAACAAAAGTTCTGATATCGTTATCGTTAATATCCGTTTCTGCTCTCAGTACTCTTCTTCAAAGGGTCAGAACTGTACTGGTTTGGCCAAACAATAAGTATGTTCAGTGCTAACCCCAAATAGGTGACTAAATTATGAATTGTCATCGTTCGATCACATACGAGTATAGTCGCTCATTGCTTGTCGCCCACATGCTGTTCTGTTTTTCGTAGCCGGAAGTCGCCGCGAGTCGGCGCGACCGAAGTTGCACGAGCTCTTATTGTGTAAAATCGCTACTTAAATAAATAAATTCAATAAATGATTCTTATAAAGGTGGGTAATTTCGTTATGTTAACGTTATGTATTCTCTGAATGGGTAGGTATAATTGAATCCCTGTTTAAAAAAACTCGGCTCTAGTTATGTTAGAGTGCTTACCGCAACGAGTTTCATCTGAGAAGTCACCGCAGTCGTTGTCTCCATCACAAAGCCAATCTATCTTTATGCATATATTGGTGTTATGGCAGAGTGTTCGGTTAAGATTTTCGTCACAGGCTGGTGCACAACCTTTCTCGTCTTCAGCTTCGGCACATTCTACTGTACCGTCACAACGTTTTGCCATTGGAATACAGATGCAAGCGATCTACAATAAAGTTCATAGTTAAAAACCTGACTTCTTAGCCGAAACTATCTTTTGTAATATATGTAGTATGTGTGTGTGGCTTAAGATAAATTATTATTCTAGTTGAATTTTCACTATTATTGGAATTATTTAAGACTTTTAGTCTCTATTTTATGATCTGATATTATCACTTTTATAAACCCTTATTAACGACTCTTCCTTTTCTTCCTTGTTATTTCTAATACTAGAACTAGTTGGAACCAACACGGATAGTTGTAGATGGTTTTTACATAGTCTGCAGCAAGTTTTTAGATATATCCCACAAACCCACTGCTCTGCCATTTTGACCAAGCCGACTTACATTACTATATTATGACGTCACGCCATAGTATTTCATACAAAAATGTACTACGTCTATTATTTTGACCTTTAGTAAAAAAATACTAATTAGATTAAACAGTCTACCCTGTTATTAGTATTACCTGACACGAAAAGTGATTTGGAGGGCATGGCCTATGACAGGCGCCGTCGTCAACATGGTCTATGTTGGGAGGAAGCCGAACCGTATCCATATGTTTAAATGAAGGGCCTGTGGACAAGATATGCGATATATGAAATCTGCGAGCGAGCTAACATGTACCGTATGTCAACATACAAAATGAATTATTTCGCTTGCATATATATTCTTCAGAATTACAGTTCAGCTGCTTAATTTGGGATGGCTCTCATCGGTTTTAATATTGTTTTTTCTTTGTAGTGAAATTATTTCTGCAGTTAATATAATTTTTAAATATACGTTGACAGTCCGGCAGACCTCCTTTACCTGGTCATTATAACGACTACACGTTACATTCAAACATGTAGTCGTTTTCATAAAATTTAAATAATTAGTTTTCTTCTATGTATAAACTTTAATTATTGCAAATTTCATGTTCCTATAATACAGTTAAAAAGCTTTCAAAAATGCGAAAATGGATTGCAAAAAACTACAGAAAATTGTCATGGATGTTAATCACGGACAATGTCATAATACCATACATGCCTCAGATATTGTACAAGAAACACTTTATTATACTCACGCGGCCATATCTCGACACGCGCAAGGCCACCATGGGAGAAGTGACCCTGGTGATTGCCAACACCACTGGATGTGTGATATGGAGGCACTCTACCAATTGAGCGGAGATCTGGTGGCTCTACCGTGACGTTGGCTGGTCGCACCACTAAAATTTCGTCTGCTGTTACTGTTTTAAAAAAATCAAAGCATTAGTGTGTTATAGTTGATATTTAACTTGTTTTATCACAATTTATATTCTCGTAACGTGCGCGCACCTTTGACATATAAATAGTCAAGACAAGTGTGACAGAACAGGTGCAATGAACAAATTAGATACCTACTCTATTATAATAACAGGCGTAATTAATTACCACGTTTATAATTAATATATTATTAATAATAGCCAATATACATAATTTGTACATATTCAGTTATAATAAGCGAATAGAGAGAAATTAGATTACATATTCAATGAATTTTGATCTTCAGTGAACTTCTAGCACTTCCACTTCTTCACTTTCTTTTTAGTAATGACACAACCTCAAGTTTTGCGTTTTAAACTACATATATGGTTGTTTTAAGACAAACTTGATAGTGTTTTAAAGTATATTAACTATATTCCTCCTATAACTAATTGCTTAATAGAATTGAAACGAGTGAATTTTGCAAAATTGCCATATTTGTTTAAGAGAATCAATATGTTTACACTACCTTATTAATAAATTGCTAGCAAATAATGTAGTTGCTTTTATATATTTTTTATAATATAAATCATTACTTTTGTTAACTGGGGTGATAGTGGGCAATAGTTACTAGTTAATAGTTAAGAACTTAATTTGAGCGTGTAAAAACTGAATATGTACATATTATGTTCATTTACTATTATTAATAATATATTAATTATACACGTAAAACGTAAATCTTGAGGTTGTGTCATTAATAAACAGAAAGTGAAGAAGTGGAAGTACTAGAAGTTCACTGAAGATCAGAATTCATTGAATATATAATCTAATTTCTCTCTAATCGCTTATTAGAGAGAAATCAGATTACATATTCAATAAATTCTGATCTTCAGTGAATTTCTAGCACTTCCACTTCTTCATATAATAATACTCGTATTAGTAAACATGTATCGTAGGTTTAGTAGGTCACTTACCACATATCCACATTAAAGTTATTGAGAAGCAGTACAACATGAGCGGCGCTGGCATGTTGGCTGCAAGTCCAGCGTCGCGGGCGCGCGCACGTTTCGGCTAGGTGACTTGCGCTGCGCCCGCGCTGCTCGTCCGCGATAAGTGCACCATGACGCGCTGGATCTTTTGTACCTCCTGATGGACGAAAGTCAAGCAATTCATTTTCAAGAAATTCTCAGATTAGACAATTACATATGTAGTTTCTTAATAATACTTGATTTTTATTATTCATCGAGTTGTAAAAAGCATGTATCGATCTACTTCTTAACATACCAATTTTTTATGTATTATACAAATTCACACAACGCCATCTAGTACCAAACTAAGCAGAGCTTGTACTATGGGTACTAGACTACTGATATAAATACATATATACTTTGTTTTGTAAATACATACATATTATACATAGAACCACCCAGACCAAATCAAACATTAAATAATGTTCAGGCATACAAATGTTTGATTTGAGCGGGCATCGAACCCGCGATCTTACGTGTGACTGCTACACTTAAGATCGCGGGTTCGATGCCCGATGTTACGCAAACCACTACGTTATCCGGTAATCGAGTCGTCGTGTTTCTCATTTTATTCCATGTGGTGACGTTCCATTTACTGAAAGACTAAACTATGCAGGCCAACAACACTGCAAAAAGAAGGAAAACTTGACATAAACCCTATACCAATCCGTCTGTCAGCGTGGTATAGTAGGCCAAAACCTCCTTTCTAAGGAAAGGCCCATGTCCACCAGTGGACTATTACAGGCTGTTGATGTTAATCATGTCGACAAGTTTCTCGAAAAATAAAAAAAAAGTTACTGAATAACGTTACTGCACTACATAACATGGTTTTGACTCTTAAAAGGTATTATTAATTTAGTAATAAGTGCAGGAATATATATTTTTTCTATTAATCCAACGATTTTCAATTTTCCTTGGATTGAAAATGAAGCTTTTGGTTTAAATCTTATTATTTAATTAATTCTGAGTCACGGTGCTACCAAATAACTCGATGTTGATAAGTCGCATACTTACGTTATCTCCTGTCAGCAAAACTTAGACAAAGTTTTGCTGACATAATATTTTATTTATAAAAATAATCTTTATTCTGTGAAATATCTCTAAGTTGGTAATATGAATGCGTGAAGATGATACTTACTCCCTGGAATAGGGTCATAACAAAACAAAGCCTAACGGTGCTTAATAATAAATTAAGTTAAAATAAAAACTAAAAATTAGTATGTACATTAATGTATTAAAATTTTATTTGCTACTTTTTGTCTTCATCATAATAATCTGTCTGTTTGTTTTGATGAACCTGATATGGCACGCATAGCCCATTAATTTTAACTTTGTGTTTGGGACACACAGGGACGGTCATTTCTTGAAACTGAGGACGGAGCGGTTTCAAGGTATTGAATTGTTTCATTAATAAACTATCTGTATCGGCTTCCTTTGTCATAACTGTGTTTACCTTCACAATGACAACCATGATAACAATGAAGAAAAGTCCGGGCATTGTAGAAAGCATTACTGTTTTCATTTCTGTTAAGAAAAAATATAAATCTTTTTAATGGTTCAATGATAAGGACAATATTACCAATACTAAACGATAAGTTATATTAGAAATATGATGTCTTCTTCAATTTCTGTGAATCACGTACAAAATAACAATCATTTTTTTCTGAAAATTCGTTGAATCCCACCAAAACATTTTTATGTAAAATGTTGCCAAGACGAGACCATATGGCTCGCACTGTCAAAAAGTTTTCAGATCTCATGTAAATTCAAGCTTCAAACTCTACACGCCTTAATTCTACTAGTCCTACCTTTACAAAATATGTAACTTGGCCGTTTTGTTACTACCAGAATTATGGTTTAACATAAAAGTGAACAGTGAATACATTTTTTTCCTTACGCCTTACCTTAGTTTTAAATTAAATTTTTATTGTAATTTTAGATAACACCTGCAACTCGACAGTCACAAGTGCATTATATAATTAAGGGGAGGAGTGACGTTGGGCGCTTATTAACTCAGTCACTCGGTGAAAAGCACAAAAGCACAAAAATCCTTAATAGCTGTTTTTTTATGAGGCCGTGGTATCACTCCGGTCGAGCCAATCTCCCACGGATTAACTTGAAAGGTTTCATTTCAGCTCTATAAAGATAAGCATATAAAATAGAAGAAAGGTCTACTCAAAACAAGATATAACATAGCAGATTTCGAATAAAGGCATGAACCAGAAACTTGCATCTAAACGATAGTCGATAGTGGGCAATTCAATTGGGAACGTCTGACTCCGCTATGGCAAATTTTCGAGATCCAAAATAATGCCATTTTTCGAAATAATTTAATTCCACACAGCGAAATACTAAGTTAATAATTACCTCAGAAGTACTGTAGATTCTGGTAATGTGTGAACTCGAAACGTTTAGGCCACACCTCACTCTGCAGCTCACTGCATGTCACAACAAATATTTATATTTCTGAATGAGTCTCTTGACATCAATGACTCGAATACTTTTTCGAAAGACACAATTTCACTGATGGTTCCGTAGCTAATTGGTATACAACAGTACAGAATGCTTTAAACCAATTGAACACAGTATAAAAGTACAGTAAGCTAAACTTGTCGATACCCTAGCAATAAGATTTAATGTTCATTTTAGTAGTTGTGAAGTGTAGTTACTACAACTTTTTAATTTGCAGGAGGGTTGAGTAAGGGAGAAAATTTAAGGAATAATGACAATTAAACATAATTTAGGCCCATTAAAGTAGATTATACTTTCTTTAACGTTTAACTTACCCGTTGTTATAAATAAATGTAATCAAGATAACAGACTGTACAGTTTCACAAAAAAAAAAACAACTTCACTGATGGTGCCATTTGCATATTGCCAATCATAATTAAAATATATTTAAAAAAATGATTAAACTTAACATTAAGTAGTTGGTAAGATGTGGTTAATTTAATTTCAAAATTACGATTTTGATTTTGCTGATTTAGTTGAACACAAGAAAGCAGAATCGATCCATACTTGTTCACCCCTAACAATAAAATGTGTAATCGCTGTGAAAGCGCTTAATGCATTAGATGAATATTGAGAAGCTTGTACTATCGTTTTCATAACCTTGCGAAGTCCAAGCTTGTTGCTTCAGGAAACATTAATAAAATTGCCTAAAGAAACACCAATAACTTCAAAGGGTTGTCAAAGCGATTAAAAATTTCTTTAAATAAATTAACTGTTATTTAATAAAATCAAATCTTTTTTTTTATCATTGGCTATTTATTGAACTATCAGAAAGAAAATAATAGAATTAAGTTTGTAACTGTGTTTGTAAGTGTGTAAATAGGAAAAATATGTATTATGAAAACACAGGTTGATAAAGGAACCCTAATAAAATTATCGATAATGTATTGTGTCAAGATGATATAACATAAAACAAATAACGATTGTCAAACTTAAATAGAATACCCCCAAAATAGAAGAATAGTCATTGTATTATTGCGTTATAGATTAGTTCACACTAATCTTTGAGGAGAAGAGATATACTTTTACTGAAGTTCAAGTGTAAGTGTTCAACGTACAAAAACTATTCTTAAAATATAAATTTTAGGCATTAATTTTTATTAAAAAATACCGTTTTTTTTAAATTAATTTTATTGAAAAATACGTGGTGAAATCGGTGACAAGTCTCTGGTAGACTTGCAGAGACTTGCCTAGAGAGATTAATGTGGCATAGGACAGGGGATTAATTTGTCAGAATAACAGTTTTTTTGTTATCTCGCAGATCTAAACGGGTAGGCAAACGAACAGATGGGTTACCTAAAATCACAGGTGACTCGCCTGCTCCTTTTTTTTTTTTTTTTTTTTTTTTTTAAAGCCTTTATTGCTGCAACTAAACAAAAAAATTTACAATTAAACTAACTTATAAACTAACACATCTGTTTCCCGGTTTAGTGATCAGCGTGTCCTGTGACACATAGGCCTCTTCCAGCTGCTTCCACTCTTTTCTTTCTCTAGCTTTTCTTGACCAGGTAGCGTCTCCGACTTTCTTTATGTCATCCATCCATCTTTTTACCTGCCTGCCTCTTTTTCTTTTGCCATCGCGAGGTTGCCACTCCGTTATGATCTTAGTCCATTTTGTTCTGCTGTCTCTAGTCATATGTCCTGTCCATTTCCATTTCAACTGTCTTACTTTCTTTATAATATCTTCCACCTTGGTTATGGATCTTATTTTTTCTGATCTTATGCGGTCTTGTTTCGTATAGCCTACCATGCTCCTTTCCATACCCCTCTGGCACGTTCTCAGTTTTTGGAGATGTATTTGGTTTAGTGCCCAAGTTTGGCATCCATATGTCAGGCATGGCAAGACACACGAGTTGAACACTTTTTTCTTCGCAACCATGGGAAACTGCTCGCTTTTGAGAATCTCTTTAAGTGACCAATATCTATTCCACGCATTAGCTACTCTTCTTTCGATTTCTATTTTCGTTTGATCTCTGAATGCAATCAGTTGACCTAGGTATGTATAGGTGTTCACATATTCAATATTTGTATCATCTAGTGTTATAGCTATTTCTTCCTTGTTCGTCATTACCTTTGTTTTTGATTTATTCATAGTCAGACCCACTATTCTGCTTGCCTCTGCCAACTGATTCAGCATATGTTGGAGCGTAGTTGCGTTGTCCGCGAATAAGGCTAGGTCATCCGCGAATCTCAAGTGGTTGAGTTTTTTGCCGTCTATATTTATGCCAACTTTTTCCCACTCTAGATCCCTGAATATACTTTCCAAGATTGCAGAGAAAAGTTTTGGGGATAGTGGGTCTCCTTGTCTTACACCTTTAGCTATTGGGAATTCTTCACCCGTTGTATCTAATTTTATTTGAGCAGTGCTTTTCTCATATATATTTTTTATAATACGTATGTATTTTTTAGGGACTCCTTGTTCGACTAAAGCCTTCCAAAGCGAGTCGTGATATATTGAGTCAAATGCTTTGCTATAATCCACAAATGCTA